CACTCCTAAAGTTGGACAAAAGTTGACCTACCTGAGGTTAACTGACTGCAGTGTGAGGGTGCATTAAAAAAAAGGATGGTGGATGTTTTCTTTAATCACCCATCACACAGAACATGTAGGACAAGAGAAACAACATAACTGTTTCATTCTTAAAATATAAACTATAGAATTTGACTGTAGGTGAGAAGTCTGTCCTTACCTCGTCAGTTTTTCCAGGTTTGAATTCCACTTTCTTGGAGCTGGGAATGTAGTCGACCCCGGGGCTGGCTGACGGAGGGTCTGAAGGTCGGGTGGCGCACCACACAGAGGTCAGCGAGGACAGGTCGCTGCCATGACGCAGCACTGGTATTTCAATTGTGCCTGAGAGAAGGGAAAAGTGAAATGCAAGGTGAAAAAATGTGAAATGTGGGAAGTTGCTGTGTTTTTGAGAGAGTTATAAGATATTAATAACTTTGTTTTGACCTTTACATTGAAAGTAATTTCAATCCTGATATAAGAACAAAGTGACACAGAAACTGAATCTCGCAGCTTCTTTTAGCTGCAACTAATGATACTGTCTGTTCAACACAGTGGGGAAGATACCTTTGTATCAAAGATCAAAGCTACGCCAGCGAGAAGGAGGAGAAAAAGAAAGAAGTGGAAGAAGTTCAGCAGAAAGATGAGGCGCAGTGTAGCTGTCAGTGATGCTAATTATAAGAGAGGAAACAATCTATTCTGTGTCATGCTCCAAAACACGTCCCTGTTCCTAAATAAATGAAACAAGTAAAATATCACAGAGTGCAGTGATCTAACTGACAAATAAGATAGCTGACGATGAGAAATGTTTCCACAAAACATGTGTAAGTGCTCAGGGATGCACGTAAACTGGTTACACTAATATCATTAAATGTAACCATTATGAAACATCCCAAACCAAAGACTACTCTCTAACAACTATTGGAAATGCCCTAAATTCCTAATGGGGAGCTATAAGAATAGGCATCACTTCAAACAACTCATATAAAAAAGTAATAAAGAAAATATAGCCATTACTTATAAATTATGTAATTTTTTAAAATATTAAATCACTGTAAATGCTGTCATGTGTACAAACACCTAATAGTATAATGTCTGGTAATAAATGTGTATCAAATAATTATTTTATAAATTATTCATGACGTACTGATGATAAAAATTATGTTCTAAAGACATTGGATATAACATTTTATATTTTACATGATGTATTTCTTAACGACCTTAGACGTTATTGTTGTTTGATTAAGGTTTCAAAGGCTTCATTTAAAGCTGCTGCCAGGATATGCAGATGGATTACCAGTGAAACCAGTGACACCAGTCTTCCACCTAAGTCCTAACATGATCCTAAAGTGGCCTTCTCTCTTCTATTTTATATCTGCTTGTGTTTCGTAGCCTGTTTAGGTCCTGTCCAGGACTGGAGCTTCTACTTCCCCTTTCTGCCATCTCCTCCAGCTCCCAGACTGCCACTGTGCTTGATTGTTCTGGTACCCCAGTCCCTGCTTCAATCAAGCCGCACCATCAATCACACCACCAGCTTAAAATGGGCAGCAAAGCAGAGCTTATTATTTAGAGCTGCTTTGAGCTGCCATGCCACTCTGTCAGTCTGTATTATTTAGACTGTACCTTGACTGTGTTGTTTTAAATGTACTTTGGCTTTGTGCTGTTTTTAACTAGTTACACCTGGACTTTATATTTATTTGCTTAATTTTCAACTAGCTTCTATTTTGGCTGCATAACCTCTCAGTGTTTCTGGAGAGTGGAGCAGTGATCATCTCCAACATTCACACGTGATAAAAGTT